GAGGGAGGGAAGGAGGGTGGCGTGGGGTGAGAGGAGCATGGATGAGGAAGGAGAGATAATGGAAGCTGAGGCAAGAAGGAAAGAGAGAGAGAAAGGCTGATAGAAAAAGGAAGAGGAGAAGAGGAAAGGATGGAGGAAAAAGGGAAGGAGGGAGAGAGAAGAAAAGGGTTAAGACAAACTGACAAGCAAAAAGCAAGAGGAGAGAGGTTTTTCTTAAAAGAGAGACAAAGAAGCAAGAAGAGAGAAAGGGAGAGCCGAAGGGAGGGTTAAAAGATAAAGAAGGAGGGAAAAGCAGAGGAAGCCCAAACCATCAAGGAGCCAGGAGAGGAAAAGGAGAAGAGCAGAAATGTTGGCAAAAATTCTGTAACTCCTGACATCTGTTTAAAATCAGCTATCCAGTTCACTGCAAATTCTTTAATGTACAACCACGGGGCATAACAAGTTTTTTTTTTTACCCCTAACAGCTCCAAAATCCATCACCGACTTCTGAATAATGTATCAGGACTATAATTTGAAATTTAAAGAACCCCTCTCTCCTCCATCTCTGAACGAGTTATCTAATTCTAAAGAGGACCGTCCAACCCCGTTGTCTTCTCATCTCGTGTGCTTTCATCAAAAATCGGTCCAGTTAAGATCAAAGCGGCAGAGCAGATAAAACATATCGGGACAAATCCGAGCATTTCACACGTTCTACTTGCCTCTGATAATGTCAGCGCTGCTTTGGTCAGGCCAGATCAGATGGAAAAAGGCAATCCGACAGACTGATAGAGGAAGACGAGGCTTTCAATGGAAGACAAACAGTCTGGTGGTCGAGCTTTCCATCAAAGACATTAAATTGGCCACCGAAGACGAAGGCATATAAGGAGGAAGACAGTGGAAAGGGGGACAGGTGCATTTTTGCAGATGATGTATATGGCATTGATTATAATCAGTCGGTCAATGGTGGTAAATAACTGTAAGGAGCTTCTGCTGCAACCTGGAATTACTGCTAATGATATATTGAGCTTAGTATCAGCTTCAGGGCAGACACACACACACACACACACTGTCATACACACTGAAACACACACATGTTCTTGTTTGAGGCTGTCTAATGATATCAGATTGATAGTCTGCAGAGAGAGAATGTCCTCAAGCTCTCTGTGTGTGTAGGTGTGTGTGTGGATCTTTGTATCCATGTTTCCTCGCTTTTGTTTCGTGTGTGTGTGCTTAATTGTGTGTATTTGTATTTGTTGAGACTTGAATACATGTGGGTGTGTTGCTGTGTGTGTGTGCACCATTCAGATGCTATAAATAACCCTCCCTATTTTAAGTTCTACTTAGATCTGCTTTGACGAGCTCCAACTCACCTGATTGGGCGAATGAACCTGAACACGGAAGTTGATTGGTGTTAGGCTTCAGTGTGTCTCTTATGATACATTTTAAAGTCAAAAACTGAAACGTAAATCACAACTGAAATAAATACATGCAGAGACATGGGTTTTGTTTTGACAGTTATCTCTCTTTCCTTTATTAACTCTTTATTGAATTAAAAGGTGTATAATCAAGAGAACGAAATGCCACGGAGGGGTGAACAGCAGAAACTCTGAGGACCATTGTGACTGTCTAGCAGTAGCCCAGCTGGCAAACTTTACGAGCAGAAAAAAAACGTAACATCGCAATGGGTCTTTGTGAGAGGCTGTATAAGGACAGATAGTGCTAATGGCGCATAGCCAATGCTGTGTGGGCTTTAAGAAAAGAGGGAGGGACAATGTATTGTTTGAATGTTCGCGGGCTACGAGTCTAGATTCACAGTCAGTAGTGCATCTGTTAGCAACGCCTGCTTTCAAAAGTCGGTCAGCCACCGAGAGGACTGAATTTCAGACGCTGTTTCTACAAATGTGACCGAAAAAGGTTTTATCCCCTTTTGAAAGTCCAAATCACTGTCTTTGTCACCTGTCATTCACTTAAATTATAGTTTTATTAATTCTGGCCACTAAAGAACGAAAAGAAAAACAAAACATTCAAATGATACAATACAAATATTTCAAAACCAGGCCTTTTTTTTTCTTCTTAATTGTCGTTTTCCAGGCAAAGAGAGAGCAGCACCCAGCTGGCAGAAAACAAAAGAGCAACGGCTGAAATAGATAGAGACAGAGGGGTGGACAGTCACGGACAGAGAGGGGAGATGTGTTGAAATACCAAACTGATTAGCTGGTGTTTCTGACATTTAAATGCCACGTTTACATAAAGAAATATTTCCTGAGAATATTAATCACTGCAGTTAATTCACAAAGAGACGTGGAAGGGATCCCTGGGTGCCTGGAAGAGGAGTGAATACAGAGGGAACATTGGCAGAATGGTGCATTGTTGGTATCAATGGCAATGCCTCAAAAACAGGTGGTTCAAATGTTAGCTGAGTTATTATTATTATTAACCTTCTTTATGATCAGACGAAGGTATCTTGGTGACCTTCAAAGCCCAATGGTGTTCAACAAACATGATGGGACCAGCAATACATAAGAAGTACCATTTAGTTAATGGCTTTCATCCGAAGTACCGTAAAGTAGGAATGCAAACGTTGTCAACATACAGTCAGCAGGTTGTTTCAGCGTGAGACGGAACCTCTGACAACGTCATCTTCTAAGTCAATGGTCCGAACACGGCACAGCCCATTTAGTTAATGTGTGACATCACGGTGTCTACCTCGAAACATCTCCATCTCGAACCGCTGGGCTGAACCAACTTCTCCACATGGGGTGTTCCGATACTCCCTCAAGTGAGCAAGAAGCCGAATGTATGGCAGCACTGAAGTACTTCAAGCTGAGAATAAAAAACTACAAAAGGACACGAAGGAGAGAAGCAGAAGCAGTGACAGAACACAAGGGAATTCCCTCTGAGGCATTTCTGGTTAGGTAGACGAAAACTGATGTACGGTCCAATCCGTCTGTCTTTCCGATGACGTTCCATTTAAGTATGCCGGACATCCATTGGACTTGCGGTTACAATTTGTTCAGGTGCTCGGGCTTATCATTGCCCGCGGGCCAGCGGTTACTCATCACATTTCTAAGTAGCCTGTCTAGAGCTGTGGCATAGAGATGAGTGACCATAATGACAGCCTGCGAGTGCTCCTCCACCGCACAGCTTTCATCAACACGCTGCCATCTTGATCCATCTCGGTTGTTCCACACGACTTCAGCGTGCTTACAGGGTGCTGCTAGCTGGCTAACGCTGCCTCCATGCTCTCTTTCCATCTGTTGACAGCCGTGGCAGCCAGATATATAAAAGTGACATCATGACAGGCCAACAAAACGTGCAAAACAGATTAACCAAATGCGTGTCATCTGGACGGGGATCAATGAGCGGTGACAAGTGTTGGGTCAGAATGATTTGTTTAATATCAGATATTGGCTACACATGCTGCTGTAATTATGACTGATGTCCATCCAACTAAAATGACTTATGTTATTTTACATCGTATTTATTCAATTTATTGTTAAATGACATTTGTACACATCAAACCTACTTAATGTTGATAACTCATGGGTGCCATATCATTCAAAATGTTTACCATTGTAAATTTAGATATTTGTATTTTTAATTATGTCTTTGTTTATTGTCATGCACCAATCCCAAAGTATTGGTTGCATTCTGCAAGCACACCTTATAGATGCCAACAATTTCTACCCACTGTCCCTTTAAAAGGCTACAGCCAGCAGTTGGTTACACGGTTACAAAATCTGCCGCCACACATGTTTAATTCGTACAGAAAGCAAAGTGTAGAAATGACTAACTAGCTAACGAGCTGCTGGCTGCACCTTCATGTTTAACGGACAGGGTAGACTTGTTCTTGTCACGCTCCTTTAATTGATCGGCAGCCACAAAGTTACTTAGTTAGTTCCAGCCTAGAAACATTGGTACTTTCCCAGAGTCAGTTTTCAAACACCCACGTTATTTGAACCCCGTTGTGTTTTCCACTCTCACCTCAGCATGTAAAGCCACGTGATGACATTTTTCGGGCAATTTCAGATCTCAAAAAGGAGCGTAACACACAACTCTCTGGAGAGTTCAGCTAACTCATTCAAAGGTAACACATCAGCTGCATGAGTCCCAGGTATGCTACCACTGCTATAAGGTTTATGACCACAGCCTTAAGTAACTCTTGGAGTTGTGTGCAGTGCAGTCTATAGCTGAGTGACTATGGATATTACAGATATGAGTGAACAGCTGTGATGATAATGATGGGCCTGAGTGGGGAAATTGGATATTTAATGGAAAGGTTTTCACCTATGATCATCATTGTCTTTTTCCATACCCACCCTCCTTCTATCTCTCTTTCCGTCTCCTCTATTTGCTCTCCCTTTCCTTTTTTCCTTTCCTCTTCATCCTTTTATCTTTTTTCCCCCTCTCACTTTGCTCAGCCCATCCTCCCTGCCGTCTTTTCCTCTCTCTCTCTCTCCGAGCCCTAAGTAGCCACAAATGGTCCCTAATAGCCTCCAATGGAGATGAATTGATCGTTGCGTGATTCGAATCGATGGGAGATTGCTTTTGCTGAACACAGTGGGATACGGCGTGGGCACGCGGCCTTAATTAAGTTAACAGTAAACCACGATCGCTTTTGAGTTTTATTAGGAGAATAAAGTTTACGAGGAACACAGAGGCAGGTAACAAAAAAAAAGATGGTTTCAGAATGACGAGGAGAAAGAAATACATCACATGTGCCTCGATGTGTTTCTGATTAGTTGCTAGTGAGTCGTGATGCTCCCTGTCTGACTCATACAGTTGGTTGGATATTTCCTCACTTCCTCTGCCTGTTTCTTTGTTTCTCCACTCCATCCCTGCTGCTTTACATACCTCCTCTCCTCTCCTCTCCCGTTCCTTCCTCCAGCTTCTTCTTCTCGCTATCTATCTCATCCTATGCCCCGTCTGACCGCCTCTCCATCCCTCTCCCCTTTTCTGTCGTCTATAATGGGATGAGCGGCAGAATTTGATCAGCAGTTTTTTTTAAAGGTCACGGAACCAAGCAAAAACTCTCAGCCAAAAGCGCCGAGGGAACGAGGGATGGGAAGGATGAGACTGAGGAAGGGGGGAGGCGAGCGAGAGGGAGAGATAACAAGGCTGGCAGAGTGGAGGGTGTAGGGAGGGGAAGGAAGGAGAGCTGTCGAGAAGGAAACGCTGCATGAGGAGAAGACGGAAGGTGGAGACGTAAACAACCGAGAAGAAGGAGGTGAACGGAGAGACGGGAAGGTATAGCGCAGTAATGGAGGAAAGAGATGGAGCAATGGAAAGAAAAGAGGGAGGTGAGGTCATTTGCTGTTTTATGACACAACAGATGAATGCATATTAAATATGTAGGAGAGGAAAGAGAGCACTGGGGTGATGAGGAGAAACAGGAATGAAGAAGGAAATGAGAAGATTAGCAGAGAGAGAAGAAAGAGTGGGCGGGAGAGGGAAGAAGGGAAGGAGGGAGGAATCCAGGGACGATGAGAAGGCGACTCTCTCACCCACCACCACTCTCTCATCTCTTCCTCTATCCTCAGTGACTGTCAGATCTTATTCTCTCTCTTCCCTTCTCCAGTTTTAAGATAAAGGACACTAAGTCCCTCTGCAGTGTCTCATAATAATAATGGCCTTGTCTGGAGCAATACAAGTTCTTTGATATCATTCTATCAGTCATTATCAAATAGACCAAACTTATTACCAAACTCACGAAGACCCCCCCTCCCCCCCATCACACTCGTCTTCCTCCTGCCAGTCTGTTCCCCAAGTGTTTAAGTGTCTTTCTCGATCACTTCAGCAGCATGTCCGCGGCCTTTGTTCATCTTTTAATATTTTCCTTGCCACGACAAACCTATATTATTTTTGGCCCTATTATATGGGTAGGAGTCTCCAGTGAGTATAGTCTACAGGACAGTGATGGATGCACTGTGGATTTGTAGTGAGGCTCTCTGCTAACTACTACATTTGGAAAACTCATGAGCTCTATGCTAACAAATCAGTGGGTGGAATATACATCCTTGGTCCCTGAGGTATTCTGTGCTGGTTTTAGACAGATTGACAGACGGCGTCTTTTTCCTGTGTTTTGTGAAGCATAGACACACACACACACACACACACAAAAGATACTGTACTGTACATGTAGTCATAGACACATCAACTATATTCACAGCAGACTTGTGCACCGTTAATTTAGCTCTACAGGTAACTATGGAAGACCACTGCAGCTTTAGGAGAGACACAAAAAGGTCCTCAGTCAATACGTGCAACTCTAAATAATTGTCTCTGCAAAATCAACATATTAAGACTAATGTGCTGCATCCACAGGTGGATGCACAGTGTAGATAAACAAGCTGAATGTGAACACGGCTCTTCGCTTGTGCTTGAAGCAGCCGAACTGAAAGAAACATCTCTGTCGGCAGCATCAAAGCCTGTCACTGCAGATCCCAAAGGACCCGGCTAGCCCGCTTAGAGCTCCACCTGTACAGGCGCCGGCGCTTTCATCAGCTGCACATATCACAAAACAGACATATCTGCTAACATAGCTGCTGCTAGCGACTGCGCCGTCTGCAGCTCTCCATCTCTCTCTCTCTCTCCATCTCTCTCTCTCTCTCTCTCTCTCTCTCTCTCTC